ATAACTCACCAAGCGTGTCTTAAGGAGTAGCAAAAGTGTCAGAGGAGGAGCGGGAGAAAGGCAGAGGGGAGCTAAGGGCTGTGACTTCCACTGGGGAGTACTACCGATCAACGAAGATTGTAAGTACAGAAAACAGAAGAAAAAAGGGGAACAGAAAGGTCTGTAACTACAGTCAATTCTGTAAACCTCAATTGCGAATTTAAATCTAGAATAAATAGTTAAGGCTTACTGCAGCTCTTAAAGAGACAAAGTACATCAATACTACCCTAAACTACAAAAGGAGTTTAAGAAAAATATTCAGAAGCTTGAAACTGAGCTTAGATATATTATTTGAATAAACAGACACCTATACTGACCCTAAGAAAAAGAAAAAAAAAAGAGATATAGATCCCAAGAAAAATCCCAAGATTCCTAAAGGGATAGGATATATATAATTATTATTACAACTTCAAAAGTAAAATAAGAATCTCTCTCAGATATATCTCTGAATAAACTGCACTTTATTGACCCATAGACATACCCTTTGAAAAGAGACAGCGCGCTATTCTAAAAATGGACTAAACAACTAAATAGGGGTCTGGCCAAAAGCTCCAATTTGACCCTGCACAGGCTGAGGAGAAAACATTTAAAGGAACTAGTCCCTGGAATTTCTATGACTAGCAAATAAAGATAAAAAGTGAACGAGTGAAGAAAAGAAGAAGGAAATAGAGAAGAAAAGGAGTAAGGAAAACCCTAGAAGAGTCAAATTATAAAGAGTCAAAGGCATGAAGACAGTATAGTAGTAGGAGAGTTTGGAAGGACGTGTGTGTGTGTATATATATATAGTTTATTTTTTGTTTTTATTTTTTTTATGTCTGCTGTCTTCCCTCTCTACCCTTTCTAATTCTCCAAATCAAATTATTATTTAGTCTTTATGGTGTCCAAAGATAACAATCCTGAAAAATACAAATCAATAAGCACATACTATTCACCCAAAAATACAGGAAAACAAACGGAACCCAGAATCTCTATGAAAACTTCAGACAACACCTAAATACACACAGTGAATCGTTTGATATCTTTATCAAAAGATAGAATTAAAAAGAAAGAAAAGAAGAAAAAGAAAGAGTTAAAAATAGACCAAAAGACCAGGATTAGCCTAGCATTTCTAGGAGCAACGAGAATAATACAGTACGGCTAAAAAGTACAGAAACACACTAAAAATTATATAGTCTAAAAGTAATTATATTTAAACACAAAAAGAATTAAATAAATCATGAAATCTGTGAAATTGTATTTAGAGAGACATCACAATTTTTATTGTGTTTTGGTTTTTTTTTCTCTTTTTTTCGTCTCATGAAGGAGAGAACTGGATGGATTAATGTAGACTAAACTGTATATAGCACTAAAAAAAAACGCCATGTGTACATGAAAGCGAAATGATATGCAATTAAAATACCAAACAGATTAAAGGTAAAATATAATTAGGCACATGAAGAAACAATGACATTTTGACGGGGCTGTAATAATATTTAGCGAGCTATGACATTCACATAAGAGTAAATAACACAAAAACATTTCGTTAATGTGATAATTTAATTTCAGTAAAGTGGTAAGGAAGGGATGGATGGATAGAAAGGTAAAACGGGATTTGTTACACACAAAATAAGATTAAAAAGGGAAGGAAATAGCTTGGAATGGGGAAAAATGGAAAAGGGAGGCAATGCCACATATAAGCACAAGAAAAAAACAAAAGGGAAGTGGGAAGCAGTAGTAGCTTTATATAGGGAGTTATCACAATTTAGTAGTGTTCTTTTTTTTTTTTCTTCCTTTTGAATTGTTCAGAGGGAATATAGAATAATAATAGAATAGAATAATAAAGGGGAAATGGGTAATTGGGAACAAAAGCATCCGAGTACGTAAAAACATTTATATGATATATAAGATATATTTTCCTCTGCCTCTTTCCTCCTTAAGACCCTCCAACCTGCGGTAGTCATAGGAAGTTCATACAAGATGTTTTATTTTCTTGTTTTGTTCTTGTATGAATGGGTTGTAAGTGTAGATTCCCGCCCACTGCTTGGGATTTTATTTATTTTTTTGGTCAATCTTTGTTTTATTAAGGCATTGAAGTCACATTACAGAAAGAAAAATAAGGAGTCACATCAATCATAAACATTGCAAGGTAGTAGTGACAATCTCAATAAGGAGATTGCCCCCTTACAATCTGTGATGAATGCTGCTGCCAGGCTGATCTTTCTCTCCTGTCACTCCTCTCACACCTCACTCAATTTAAAATAATAACCATTACCTATAAAGCTCTAGCCAACTCCAGCCCCTTTTACAATTCTTCACTGATTCATAGGTATGCCCACTCTCGGTCTCTCCGCTTTACTGGTGACCTTCTCCTGTCTGCTGTGGGCAACCATACTGCATATTCACACCTGCAAGACTTCTCACGGGTGGCTACTTTCCTTTGGAACATCCTGCCTACCCCTGTCAAACTCTCTCCTAGTCTTCAATCCTTTAAGAAGTCCCTCAAAACCCATCTTTATAGGATTGCTTATTGCCTCCAAGAGTAATGTCTATCACTCAATCCTTCATCTTGCTCTCTCCTAAAGGGCCACTCTCCATTCTCACCTCCAGTTCTGCTACTTTCCCACCATGTCTATTTGCTGTCTCCCTCAATACCCTTCCTATTGTGTTTTTATACCCCTCCCCTCTAGACGGTAAACTCGTTTGAGCAGGGCCCTCAACATACATATTGTTCCTGTTACATTTTGTTTCTGTTACATATTGTTCCTGTTACATTTGGTAAATCCCCACTTATTGTAAAGCGCTGCAGAATAAGCTGGCGCTATATAAATACCAATAATAATAATAACAATTAACCATAATCTCCAGCGGTTACACGGGTGGGTTATGGGACTATGGGCTTCCCCAGGTTTTCTAGATCAATAAATTAAAAGAAAATAAATCTTTTTTTTTTTTTTTTTATTCTGTTAGAATAAATGGGTGGAATTGTCAAGGGTAAAAATACCAGACGATTAGCTATCTTAGATATAAGCCTCTACATTGTTTGCATTTAAATGTAGCTGAACAGTAGAATTAGCAAGTAATGGTTTAAAAAAACAAGTCAGCATGTTTAGCATGCTTAGTCATCCTAGCTTGGGTCCACCCAGCTCACCCTGCCCATGATAACTTGTTCCATAGATAAACATCTGTGAGTTCTCAACTTTTGTGAAAAGGCACTTATAATATTGAACCATGTTTATGGTCATGTACATATATATTAGTAAATAATCATTAGAATAAGTATTAATTAGTCATAATAACTAACAAACGCACGCACACACACACACACATATACTTAAGATGGTTAAAAATAATGATCATTAAATAAAACAGCATACAAAGGATTAAGTGTCACACACCAAGTTCAATTTGAACAGCAACACCCTTCTAGGTCCCCCCCCCACCCTCATGGCTCCCCTCCTGCCGGGCTGAAGGGAAGGGTTAAATCACTCACCTTTCTCCAGCGCCGGGCTCCCTTGGCGCTGGGGACTCTCCTCCTCCTTCCGACATCATCGGCTGAATGCACATGCGCGGCAAGAGCCGCGTGCGTAGTCAGTCAGTCCATAGGAAAGCATTCTGTAACGGATCACCTGGCACCCCGACTGGGTACCTCCGTTGAAGGATGCTCCTAGCGCTTCCTGAGGACTCCAAGCACTGCAGCAGACACCACAACCACCGAATCGGAGAAGCATATGAATGCTCTCAAGCATATGAATGTTGTATACAGCCGAATAGGAGAAACCATGCAAATAGGTTTACACTCCTAGCAGTCAAACTGGAACAGCATACAATAAATCCTCCCCAATAATGAGACAACACTTCACTTTGAGGGTTAAGCAGGAACTGACTGGACTGGCACATATAGCCTCTTTTATTCCCAATCCACAAACTTAGTACTGCCCACAGGGTTTTACAGAACAACCAATAACTAGTACAATACACTCAGACACTCCCACACATCCTCCACTCTGCCTGTGATACAATTACCTTCCACAATGGGTAATCTAATTATCACAGACAGAGAAATACAGTTTCATAAAACACATCACAGGGATCCCAAAACATGCAATAACCCCATAAAAAGTATAACCCCATAAAAAGTATAAAAAAAAAAAGTGAACCACATATCCAAAATTCACCCAGATCCGTTCAGTACTTTGGAAGATACAGTTTAATGCAGATTTTACAGAACATATGCAGGCTATATGAAAAACAATTACTGTATAAGGTGTCCCCTGTTGTATAGTCCAAAACCACTGAACGATGTCTCTGTGCACCAAATACTGGTGAGATGGTACCGTGTTGAAAAGTCCAAACAGTGTCTGTGAGTTAAAATGGCCGCCATCCATTGTTCTCACCATGTGCTTCATCCATGGTTATCACCATGTGCCTCTGATACAGGAAATGGTGGCCACCCAGTAACTCCACAGTATTTCCCCAGATGGTTCTTAAAGGGCCAGCAGCAGCACAACACAAATCCATTATGCCCAAATCATGTCTTTAAAGGGCAATACATCCCAGGGGCCATAGTCAAATGGCAGGAGGCTGGCAATCAGTCTTCTCCAATGCCCAGTGGCGAGGTCGGTTTCGCCACATTTCTCCCCTTTCCCAAAAAGACTAACAAGGTATCTGACCTCCTGTCGGTCAGTGCCTTGGTTAGTCCAGCAACCCACCCACAAAACAGAATCCGCAGTGTAACCCACCCACGAAAATTGGTTACTACACCTGGAGTAGTGGGTCGCATGTCCAGGAGCTCCACCTTGGCTCTGGGGGGTACTAGCACTCTGGATCGATGGGTTGTTGGGTGGGCAGAGACCAGCGGTACTCTGCCCTGGTGCCAGCACTACCACGGGAGTAACCTGGTTGGAGCCCAGGTGAGGGAACGGCGTAGTAAACTCCTCACTCCAGACCTGGGTCTGCTGCTGGAGGGGAAGACAGGCTGTCTCCCCTTTGGATAAACAGCCCTGCTGCAGGGGGACAGGACCGACTGTCCCTACACCCTGTGGTTTGGGCACAGAAACCATGGTCCCATCTGCACCGGTGTGGGGCTTATCATCTCCCCTTGGTGGGCTAGGCTGCCGCTGGGGAGGGGGAACGAGACTCTCCCCTCCTGGTAGAATACTCTGCCGCTGGGGAGCAGGACAGACTGTCCGTACTCCCTGTAGCTTGGGCGCAGAGACCATGGTCCCATCTGCGCCGGTGTGGAACTTAGTGTCTCCCCTTGGTGGGCTAAGCTGCCGCTGGGGAGAGGGGGTAACAAGCTTCTCTCCCTTACACACTTTCAGCCGCTGGGGAGGGGAGACACTGCTCTCCACTCCCTGCATTTCACACTGCCGCTGGGGAAAGGAGACACTGCTCTCTATTCCGTGCAAATCACAGTGCCGCTGGGTATCTGAGCCGACCGCCCAGCATCCCTGTAGCTCACCCTGATACTGGGGAGGGAGGACACTGCTCTCCTCTCCCTGCAAGGTACACTGCCGCTGGGGAGGGGAGATGATGCTCTCCACTCCCTGCACTTCACACTGCTGCTGGGGAAAGGAGACACGGCTCTCTATTTCCTGCAAATCAATCTGCCGCTGGGGTTCTGGGCTGACCGCCCAGCATCCCTGTAGCTCACCCTGCCGCTGGGGAGGAAGGACGCTACTCTCCTCTCCCTGCAAGGTACACTGCCGCTGGGGAGGGGAGACGATGCTCTCCCCTTCACACTGCCGCTGGGGGTCTGGGCCGACTGCCCAGCATCCCTGTAGGGCTGGTAGAGAGACCGCCGTCCCATCTCCACCTGCCATCTGTGGGTCTTCCCAGGACCAGTCTGTGAGGTCTCTCAACATTTGCAAGTAAGGACCACCTGCTTCCGCACCTCGCAACTCCGGCTGCTGCTGGGGATCTGGGCTGGCTGACCAGCATCCCAGTGGAGAGACCTCAGTCCCATCTCCACCTGCGTGTTGTGTTTCCTCACAGGACCAGTCTATGAGGACCCCTACTTCGGGTTCCTCCGGCGGCCTCAGGGGGAGATGGCTAGCCTCCTCGGATGCAGCCTCTACTCGGCTGCTGTAACACTCCTTCTGCTGAGCATACTCTCTCTCTTTCGCCAGCCGGAATTCTCGGGCCAGCCTTGTGTTTCGCTCGGCCGTAACCTGGTTCCAGATCACCCGGCGTACCTCCATGGCTAGATCATCCCCATACTGGGCCATTCGCTGCCTCACCTCGGCCATCCAATCATCGCCAGAGCCTTCCATACTTGTCTGCTCCAAGTCGCTGGATACCTCTGCTCCCAGGGGATCTGCACATGTGCTAGCGTTGCCCTCAATTTGTAACTCCATGAACGGTGTCTCTGAGCTGCTTTACCTCACACTAGGACGCCATCCCACCGCTTGCCACCAATGTAACGGATCACCTGGCACCCCGACTGGGTACCTCCGTTGAAGGATGCTCCTAGCGCTTCCTGAGGACTCCAAGCACTGCAGCAGACACCACAACCACCGAATCGGAGAAGCATATGAATGCTCTCAAGCATGTGAATGTTGTATACAGCCGAATAGGAAAAAACATGCAAATAGGTTTACACTCCTAGCAGTCAAACTGGAACAGCATACAATAAATCCTCCCCCAATAATGAGACGACACTTCACTTTGAGGGTTAAGCAGGAACTGACTGGACTGGCACATATAGCCTCTTTTATTCCCAATCAACAAACTTAGTACTGCCCACAGGGTTTTACAGAACAACCAATAACACGTACAATACACTCAGACACTCCCACACAAAATCCTCCCCTCTGCCTGACACAATGGGTAATCTAATTATCACAGACAGAGAAATACAGTTTCATAAAACACATCACAGGGACCCCAAAACATGCAATAACCCCATAAAAAGTATAACCCCATAAAAAGTATTAAAAAAAAAGTGAACCACATATCCAAAATTCACCCAGATCCGTTCAGTACTTTGGAAGATACAGTTTAATGCAGATTTTACAGAACATTTGCAGGCTATATGAAAAACAATTACTGTATAAGGTGTCCCCTGTTGTATAGTCCAAAACCACTGCACGATGTCTCTGTGCACCAAATACTGGCGAGATGGTACCGTGTTGAAAAGTCCAAACAGTGTCTGTGAGTTAAAATGGCCGTTGTTCCATTGTTCACACCATGTGCCTCTGATACAGGAAATGGTGGCCACCCAGTAACTCCACAGTATGTCCCCAGATGGTTCTTAAAGGGCCAGCAGCAGCACAACACAAATCCATTATGCCCAAATCATGTCTTTAAAGGGCAATATATCCCAGGGGCTATTGTCACATGGCAGGAGGCTGGCAATCAGTCTTCTCCAATGGCCAGTGGCGAGATCAGTTTCGCCACACATTCTCAATGCTTTCCTATGGACACTGGCGTCTTCTCACTGTGAAGATCACAGTGAGAAGCGCGGAAGCTCCTCTAGCGGCTGTCAATAAGACAGCCACTAGAGGCTGGATTAACCCATATGTAAGCATAGCAGTTTCTCTGAAGCAGATATTTACCCATAAAGCTTCCACATTTTCCTCATCACATTCCTCTTGCTTAAGATTTGGCTTTAACTCATGGTTGACATACAAACATACCCCACCACCCTTCTTGTTTTTTCTATCCTTCCTAAATAACATGTACCCATTTAAGTCAACTGCCCAGTCATGTGTCTCATCCCACCATGTTTCAGTTATGCCTATTATGTCATATTGTTTAGTGTATGCTATAGCCTCTAGTTTCCCCATTTTGTTATTTAGGCTCCTTGCATTAGTAAGCATACATTTAATATCATGAGTCACTTGTACTTTTTGTCAACATTATCAACATTACATAGCTTCTCTGTTCTGAGCTTGCCCCTCCCCCGTCTCCACCCCCCTTATACTGGGCTAAAGCCCATCTCCTTTCTGTCCTATCTCCATTTTGTAGATTGCTATGACCCTCCCCCCTACTACTAGTTTAAAATCTCCTCCAACCTTCTAGCCATCCTATCCCCCAGCACTGCAGACCCTCTCCAAATTAGGTGCAACCCATCACTACTATAAAGGTTGTACCCAAGCGCAAAGTCGGCCCAGTGCTCTAAAAACCCCAAACCCTCCTTCCTGCACCAAGACTTCAGCCACGCATTGACCTCTCTAATCTCCCGCTGCCTTTCCACTGAAGCGCATGTTCTATTATTCAGTTTATATAGCCTGATAATTTTAGCTTAACTACTGTTATGCATCGAATCACACTCATTTGCCTGTTGTATTACCTATAAAATGTGCAGTATTTTTTACATTTAATGCCCTGCTTAACTGTACATGCATGGATCTTATTATAGTTTAAATGTCTGAATAAGCTTGCATGTAACCCACTGCACAACAAAAATAATTAAAAAAAAAAATCTGTAAGATCACTTTATTTAATAATTTACTTATTTGATAGATAGTTTTTAACTCCTATATACGAAAATACCTCTTTGAATGATATGAGAAATTGTGATTTTAATTGTTGAAATTGAATTAATTTCCCATTCTTAATATTATTTTATATTTGACTGATCCCACAGCTCCTCAAATCTAAGTCTTTCACATTGAATTCCAAAAGTTTTATAGCAAATTACGTGGCTATGCCTTCGGAGTGTTGCATTTTTTCTTAATGATGATAGCTGTTAAAATCATATCTTTAATAATTGAATTTCTGTATATTGATCTATTCGCTGTTTATCTAGTCAGAAACAATCAAAAAGGTTATCTATTCTAACGTCCTGTGACTCAATTTCACCCTATTGATTGGTCATATATCTAGTCTTGGCCCAAGCCAGGAAATGTGATACCATACATGCCTCGTGAAGAGCATTTACATCTGGAAAGTTTAGCCCTGTTTTTTTATGATTCTAAATGCAATTCTGGGCTTTTTATTCACCTGGATAAATCCAGAAATTGATTTTTGGAATTTCTATAATATTGCAGGGTTTACTTTAATTCGAATTGTTCTAAATAGATAAAGTAGTTTTGTAAACTAGAATCTGTAACGCATATAAGCGTTTACAGATTCTAGTCTACCCATCCAAGATAACTCAATTTTATTCCATATTGTAAAGTGTTTTTTGTATTCCTCACTCAGTTTTTGGGTGATTTCAATCCCAAGGAGTCAATTGTAGTTTGATTCCAATTAAATCTAAATGTAGAATTGAGATGATACAGTACTTTCAATTTGAGACCAAATGTCATTATTTGTGTTTTAGTAATATTAAGTTTATAATTGGATAATTTGCTGTATTCAGCCAATAATTCCAGTACTGACAAAATCAATTTAAGAAGGTTTGTCATCTGCAAACAAAATTATTGTATGTGCCTTTTTTAATTAAGGCAGCTAGCGGCTCCATTGACTAGCTAGGGGCTAACAGACAGCCCTGCCTTGTACCATTTTTAAAATACCTTTGCTGTGGGGTTTGAATACAGAATCGTAATATTTTCTCTAAAGTAGCCTTTCAATTAAAAGTGTTGTATAACAGTATCCATAGAGACTCACTCTATGACAGGCCTTATCAGAGTGTAACGACAAAAAGGTTGCTTTGATCTTCTTATCGTTAACTCTATGAATGAAGTTGAAGACCCTTCAGATGTTATCTGGAGCTTTCCTGGCCCTGACAAATCCCGATTGATCTGCATGTAACAAGTGTGGTATTACCTGCTTGAGTCTATTTGCAAGAAACTTTGAATATATCTTGATCTCAAAATTTATGAGGGTCTGTAACTATAAGTCTTTGTAGGGCTTTTTCCTAATATAGGGATTGGAAGAATTGAGACTTGGAGGAATTCTTCTGGTAGTTGTTGTAGCGAAGCTCTAGTCCTGACAGGGACTTTTCTCCACTGGATCCATAGTAACTGGAACTCTGGAACAAGGCGCTATAAAGTGAATAGCTTTATTCCTCCCTAGTATCTGGACGACACAAAGTTCTGGGAGTACAACTGATTTTTATTGTGCCACACTCTGCTTTTTATGCACAGACCCCCAGCATGGGGTCTCCATACAACACAACACAAATCCCTCCCACTGTGTTTGGGAAATAATTGAGTCAAAGACCGGTAGCTCAGTTATCTCTCAGTTACAGGGAACCATACAAACAAATATTCAAAACACCCCAAAAGTACATTCAAAATACACAGGAACACCACAAGTCTTATATCCCC